TGCAGATGCCTAATTAAAGCCTCTTGTGTGTTGTATCAATTGGCGCGTGGACTCTTGATTCTTGGGGTGACGAATCCAGCTTGGGGACCCCTCCTCAATTCGGGGAGTACCTGAGTTGAAGCCAGAGTTGTTTGTTTCACATATTTCTTACCATCTATACCATAAGCTGTTTTTTCATTAGAATAACCATCAGTAAAAACTAGCACAACATTTTTAAAGGACTATCTTTTACAATTTTGGAGAATATAAAAGGTTGTATTGGCTCAAACTATAACAGCCTATAAGCTGTAAACTGATAATCAATTTTTTCTGAAAACTGAGTGAAAGCAGTTGTTTGCAAATCACTGTTTTGAAACAATAAATTAGGGGTGCCTGAGCCCTGCCCTCAGAGGAGGGGAGGCAGCTGTCCACCATTCCTGTTAACATTCCTTTGCTAATTATAAGTCATAAATGTCCTCTGCTAGTTGTAAAGATTCCCTGTCCCAGGGGATAATTGACAGACCCCATGTCCTCAGTAACTCTGTAAGCCTTATCTTATCTTATTTAGATGTATCCTGCCCAAAACATATACTGTTTTACTCTGGATCTTGTATGACCCTAAGTAACCATGGAAGCTGAACCCTGTGGTCCTTTTTTAAAAGCCTCCCCCACTGATGGGCATCTCATCTCCTCTGTCATGGAGAGAAATCTAATCTGACAAGCCTGAAGTAAAGAAACCTTTTTCCTTTGCATCAGAAGTGTTATTTCCGTACCATACAGGTACTGCTTTTTAAAATATGGATTTAACACTTTGGCTGGGGAAACAGCATAAGCCTCCCATGGTTTTGTATTGTGAATATAACATCTGCTGATGCCAGACTATAATTTTTAACACTAGGTAGGCCATATTATCTTCTTTAGGCAACCACTTAGGTGAATTAGGATCACTATTTTCTTTTAGAATATAATTAAGGGTTTAAAAAAAGGACATAACCATTGAATATTTCCCAACAATTTTTGAAAGTCGCTTAAAAGATTGTAAGCTATCTTTTTTAATATTTTAAATTGAGGTTTAATTTTATTAGAATATAACATATGTCCCAAATAAGGTTTAATTTCTATTAGAATATAACATGTCCCAAATAACTTTTGAAAAATCACTCAAAATTTGCAAGTAGTCTTTTCAAATCCAACCAGCAAGCCTCTCACTAGCTGACAAGACCTCATTTGCATCTTAGCTGACATGCTCTAATTTGCATCTAAACAGACACATTTGGGGATGGGGCCCAACCAAATGGCAGTTCCCTGAAAAAAAAAAACCTTTTTTAAATAACGTATTAACTTTTATTTGCTAGATTTTTTTTTTGCTAGCTATAAAAAATTTAGGAGGGTCTCTGTATCCTGTCCTTTTAAACTCCATAGAACCATCCATACATATTTTCTTGGGTTCCAGTCCATGCTGTAAGCTTCTGTTATTTTCTATTGACTGGCTCTGAAGGCTTAAATCTTTTATCTTTCCTGTTAAGACATTAACTGATTGGCTGGATGGCTGGATGCTCCTTTTGGCTATATCTAAAGCAATTTAAGTAACTTTTTAAACTATATTTGAAGTGTTTTTTTAAGTATCCTTTTAATCATATTCAAGGCAATTAGAACAGTTGCTTTCATCAGCATTCACACATTTACACTTCACATTCCATACATACTGGTATGGCCATGCCTATACACACAGACCATGCACACATCTCTCTCATCTCTCCTCTTGCCTAGGTTATGATTAGTAGTTGAAATGAAACATCCTTAATTGAAGTCTCTTGTAACACAGCAGCTATAGCCAATCCTTGAGCATCCAGAATCTGAGCAAATCCAAATTTATCTAAGTTGTCTCTTTTCTGTAAGGTCTTAAAACAGTTTCTGACTGGCTGTATTAAAAGCATTTTCTATACATTTGTTTGGGTGTCAGCCATGGCAGCAGCTCTCAAGGCTGTGAACTTCCTAGGCTCTGTCTCTTACCTTCCTCACGCCTGGCCTTTGGGCCTGGGCTGGCCTGCTGTAGATTACCTGTGGCCATTTTTCTCTCCTGCACCCTGGACATTTTAAGTTCCTGCCAGTCTGACATCCGAACAAATCTTTAATAGACTCATTTGTGTCACCTTCCTTTCTACAAGGTCTTAGCATGGCCTGGCATGCTGCATTAGGATTCTCACAAGCTAGTTGTCTCAATCAAAAGGTTAACACCTGTATCTCCCCTTATTTTGGATGATGTTTGTAGTTGCCTAAAGACAAAATTTTGAAATAACTCCTTAGGTCCTTGCCTGCTCTTTACAAAACCTCCAGCCCATGTCCTGGTGGCTGAAAACCTGTTTCAAGTTCTCCTGGCTGCTGGGCCAGTCTGCCCATACACTGCAATCAAAAGTTAACTGCTGATCTGTATCTTTGCCCTTCCTCAGCAAGCACTTTATAACAAAAGGGAAGATTTTGGGCTCTCTCTCTCTCTCTCTCTCTCTCTCTCTCTCTCTCTCTCTCTCTCTCTCTCTTTCTCTCTCTTGTTTGCCACTTTTCCAATGCTGGAGACACTGACCTGCTGTGTCTGCCAGCCATGACCTGAGGGTTGCCTGGCCCTAGGCTGCCTTAGACAAAGGAACACTTCTCTGATCTAAGGAAACTTGAAAAGTTCTTATCTCCTGTGAGATCGATTTTGCTAAATCTTTCAAGTCTCTTAGTTTTTGTTGAATTTTACCACTAGGTTTTTGCCTCTCTGTATTTCTAGTTAAAATGAGGGATGTGAAGACTCTTGTCCTGATACTTAATAAGTTTCTCTTTATTTTGATTTTAATCTCTCTACCCTGCATGTCCTCCTTGATCTGACCAACCGCTTCAGGGGCAGATACTTCCCTCTGTCTCTCATATGCATGGCCGCACATTCCCTTCCCCCAGCCCCGGTACAGCTCTGATACAGCTGCTGCAGCCTCTGTGAGGGGGAAGGACTCTTTTAAAACTTTTAAACTCCAGAATCCTCTGTGTAGTGACCAGTCCCCCATTTTAGCGGCCATTACAGGCTAACATGTGCTTGCATGACCTTGCCACTCCTGTCCTGGTCACTAAGGTCAGATGCCCTCCTCATGGCAAGGAACCAATCAGAAGTTAGCTGGCAGGGCTGTGCTTTATGGCTCTGGGTGTGCTTTACTGACAGTGCACAACAGTGATGTGCAAAACATAGCAACCGCCCTGGGAGGGCCTATGGGCCATAACAACCAGTTGACCAATCAACACAGGGCGGGTCACCCAAACCTGGAAGTCCACCAATCCTGAGACTGTTTCATGTCCCTAGACACTGCCCTAACGCTGCCCTTTAAGATCCCTGCCTCGAGGTTGCTTGGGGTCTTTCTCCAGCCGTTTGCCATGGGGAAGGGCCCGAGCTAATGGGGTTAGCTCGTTAAACATCTACAATAAAAGACTCTGCTTTTGCATCAAAATGGGCCTCTTGGTGATTTTGGGGTTCAGAATTTGGGCACATCTGCAGTTTTACTTCATTTAGCTCTCCTGGCTATCAAAACACAAGTAAATATACAATCATCTGACCAACAATTTCTGTCTTATACATTTCTTTAATAATCTTGAAGGCAGTCACCACCCCTTCTTTTTATATATATATTTATTTAGCGTTCCCTCCAGGGACAAACATCTGCCATATAACTTATAACTTTTTTAAATCTTTGTTTTTAACCCATGTTCCTCATAAGAATTGTACAAGATCCTTCTTTTCCACCCTAAATCCTTGTATTCTGAGGGCTTCCTTGAGCCCGGAAATAAAGAGACACTTTAGAGAGAATGATGCCTGCCCCATCACTCACTTGGCCATGAGATCTGTGCCATTGCTTGCCACCGCCCGTCTTGCTCTTTTCGGCAGGCCACCAAAATGAAGACCGTGCTGTCCCCCTGGGGGATGCTCTGGAAGGGCCCTTCTCTCCCGAGAGCGACCTCTTTCCCCTGGTTGTCTGACTTCAGGCCACGTGGGCTCCAATAATGTCCTGTCCCACAGGACACTCCACGTGGGTTTGGTAGACACCTAGAAGAAAGATGGGGGGCAGGGGACACAAGGATGAACAGCAAGATCAAGGCGACAATTTTATTTCACCCCAAAGGGATTTATATAGGGAAGGGAGGAGGGGAAGGAATGGGGGTGTGCTGCAACTGCAATGAACCTGGTGGGGCAAAGGTTAGTGGGAGGGGTAACCCTCTGTGCTGTCTGGAAACCTAATTCGCAGGGCAAAAGTATGGGGGTAGAACCTCGTGCATTACTAGGTAACCTGACTGTAGGTTCTTACTTTATCTGTCTGCATCTCTCCTATGTTCTCGTCTAACTCCTGGCAGAATTGGGGTCGTTCTGTTGAGCTAATCTTTACCTGCTAATTAAGCTGCAGGCCAGTTTCTGGAATTTGGTAGAGGTAGCAGGGTGGTCCAGAGTCACGTACATTCTAGGAGGGTTGAGTCATGTCTTCTCTTATGAGTATGTGAGGCAGCCATTTCTGGTTGATGGCCAGAGGACTCTGACACCAAAACACTCAAGTAATATCCAAAAAAGTAAACGCATTTGTAAATAGTTCAAGTATAAACAGAAATAAAACTGTATTTACAAGAATTTTTATAAAAACCAAAGCTAAGACTAATAATCATATTATTTATCTCATCCTTCCAAGAACAAGAGAATTGTGACAAAAGAAAAAATTTGTCTTCTAGAAGTAGACCCAGATCAACATTGGAGACCACCCAAATTCTGATAACTGATATAGTGTTCATGATATTTTTATGACTGGAAATGAAAAACAAGAGAGAATGAGTTCAGAAGAGACACTCCGGCTTCTTATTTTCTCCCAGCTGAACTTATAGATGTTGCTTTCACCCTATTTCACCTCAAGCTCAGGTAACATTTCAGACTCACTGCTGCCACGCCCAATAATTGTTGCCTAAGTCCTCAAGTTGTCTGGGCAACCAGCAGGGCTGGGAGTCTGAAGAAGCCCTTTGTCCACTGTCAGTGTCTCCCATCTCAGGCAGTGGCCACAGCAGAGTGTTTTAGCCTAGCTCCATCTAGGATGTTGTCTCTGAGCTGGGGCATGAGGCTGGTAGGAAGACCTGTGACCCTTGGGGCCCCCCTCTTGCTGGTTGCACTCTGGGTGCTGCTCCTGGTTCCAAGCCAGTGTTTTCAAGGCCGTCCCACATGGCGTTATATCTCATCAGAGGTGGCCACTCCTCGGAAGGTGACCTACCATGGCAAGGGTTTTCAAGCTCCAGGACGGCTCTCCTACAGCTTGCGGTTTAGAGGCCAGAGACATATCATCCACCTGCGAAGAAAGACTCTTATTTGGCCCGGACACTTGCTCCTGACGACTCAGGATGACCAAGGAGCCCTACAGATGGATTATCCTTTTTTCCCTGGAGATTGCTATTATGTTGGCTTCCTGGAGGGGATCCCTTATTCCACAGTCACTGTGGATACTTGTTCTGGGGGCCTGAAGGGGGCAGTGATGCTGGATGACCTTGCCTATGAAATCAAACCCCTCAGTGATTCACACAGGTTTGAGCACGTTATTTCTCAGGTAGTAGCTGATTCTGACACAGTGTTGCCTACAAACGAATGGAAGCACATGGAGCTTAACACAGAACCCCTCTTCTCTGGAACAAATGCCAGTGTGGCTCCCAGAATTTCTAGCAGAGACTATGCTTCCCATCCAGCTGCTATCAAAGGACATTTTCAAGCAGCTCCCAGTGTGTTTTTGAAAGCTAACTCAAATGTTACAAGGTGTGCTCATTATTTGTTTTCGTTAGCAAGCTTAATGGACAGCTATTTAAGGAGCATTCATTTGCGGTACTATGTTATTCTCTTAACTGTGTATGAAAACGGACGTCCATATAATCATGCAAAAGTGATAAGTGACACGTTTCTTCTATACTATAAGAGGACCTTTTATGACAAACTTAGGCCTGATTCATCTAATATGATTAGTGAATGGGGACCAAAAGATAATATCGTTCCAGCTATACATAGTATGTGTACTTATAAGGCCCTAAACTGTGTTGGTCAAAATGACAGATATTATGTATATGTATCTGTGATAGTAGCCAATCGTGTTGGGAGGATTTTAGGTCTGAATTTTGATAATGAGACGTACTGTGTTTGTCAGAGAAGGTCTACCTGTGTTATGTTCGAGAACCCTCTACTAACAGATGCTTTCAGCAATTGCTCCCTCTCAGAGCTAAACAATTTAATCAATACGCCTGGAGAGCTGCCCTGTCTTTTCTATGACTATCACACTTACTATAACAGATCAGTAACCTACAAGGTTTGTGGAAACTCCATAATAGATGAAGGGGAGCAATGTGACTGTGGCTCAAACAAGGCTTGCTATGCAAATACCTGCTGTGATAATAATTGCAGGTTCTCTAAAGGTAGCATTTGTGACAGAGAATCATGTTGTGCAAACTGCACCTACAGCCCTCCTGGGACACTTTGCAGAAGCATCCAGAACATATGTGATCTTCCAGAATATTGTAATGGGACTGAAGTCCACTGCCCAAAAGACTTTTATCTGCAAGATGGAACACCATGCTCAGAGGAGGGGTACTGCTATGCTGGGAACTGCACTGATCGCAGTATCCATTGCAAGGAAATCTTTGGTGTCAGTGCTCGAGCGGGTAATAAAATGTGCTATGAAATCAATAAGGAACAGCACCGGTTTGGACATTGTCACAGATCTCCAGAAAGCCTCTTATTCACACCTTGCTCTGATAAAGACAAAATGTGTGGAAGGTTGCAGTGTACCAATGTCACCCACCTTCCACACTTGCAGGATCACGTTTCATTTCATCAGTCAGTTATTTCTGGGTTTTCCTGTTTTGGGCTCGATGAGCATCGTGGAACAGATGCAACAGATGTTGGACATGTGAGATTTGGCACTCGATGTTCCAAAACTAATTTCTGTGATCAAGGGTCTTGCAATGGATCTTTAACTGCACTCAATTATGACTGCACCCCAGAAAAATGCAATTTTAGAGGAGTATGCAATAATCTTCGGAATTGCCATTGTCATGTAGGTTGGGACCCTCCTGACTGTGTAGGAGATGGACCTGGAGGGAGTTTGGACAGTGGAAGCCTTCCACTTACCATACGCAGAGTAAGACAGAGCAAACAGCCAGTTGTATATTTAAGATTGATCTTTGGTCGAATTTACGTCTTCATAGGCTCACTGCTCTTTGGAGTGGCCTTTTGTGTAACCATGACTAAGATTATCACGTCTGAAGACTGGCTGGCTAATTTACGTCATGCACAAGAACATGGGCATATGATCAGATATGCACGAAATAGACCAAAGTAAATATACATTAGCCTCCTGGTCCCTGTAAAATAAAGATAAATAAAAAGAAACTATGAATGTCAACAAGGAGATAAGTTAAAACTCAAGTCCACAGTTCTGAAGAGCCTGAGGTGATTTTACGGGGACACAGGGATCTTTGATGTTCATACTACCTGTATTTGATAGGTTGCTGAACCTCACATTGGAATAAATCTTCAAAATTGCAAATTGGTGTCTTCTGTGCTTTTGGTCAGGCTTTAGGAACTGCACTAAACTTGCTCCTTTGTTAGTAGTAGGAGACCTTGAGCCATGAATCCTGTAGGTCCTGGCTTTAGGTCTCTGGTCTGAAGATGAATGGAAGTTGTCTAAATCTCTTTTAAGAATGTATCTAGGGTGATTCTATAAAATGTGCTTCCTGAGCGCTTACAGTTTCCCATCCCTTGTCATCATGTTTGTCCGTGGTCCTCTCTCCTGCAGCTTGTGGATAGCATTTCAGGGACACTGCTTAGAGGAATGGAGGGAGTGAAGGCAGACTTGGGATCCAGCCGAGGAAATGCTACAGGTCCACCTCATACTACTCGAGGAACTGATGTTAAGAACATCACCGTTAACACACATCCATCCTTCACTAAGTATACTATCCACACAGCCGTATGGAATCAGTCTTTCCACAGCCCTGCAGACAGGATATTGCAAAGAATACAGCCTGGGGGAGAGTGTGCTGAGTCTCAGGGAGGACGGCTTTGAGAGCACAGGACAGATGCTGGTGGCCTTGTCAGAGGAGCAACAGGTGACAACTGAAGTTCAAGGCATCGGCCCATGGAGGAGATTCTCTGATGGGTCAATCTTGGAGACGCCAGGCTCCAAGACCTCAGACTCCAGAATGTCTTTGTTTCCTCTGTGCCTTTACATGTTTGCTGCTGTCACCTGTCTCTGGTACCCTGAATGTTGTGAATGGGTGTGGGGAGGTCCCCACTGCCTGTAATACAGTGTGTTTACCTCATGGAATCATCATATCCTACTGTGTACTTTCATCTGTGGATTATTATGAACACGATTTGTTATTAAGAGCAATGTCTAGCCAGGCGGTGGTGGTGCACGTCTTTAATCTCAGCACTCTGGAGGCAGAGGCAGGCAGATCTCTGTGAGTTCGAGACCAGGCAGGACCGACAGCTTCCAAAACAATACAGAGAAACCCTGTCTCATAAAAACAAAAAAAAAGAGTAATGTCTAAATGATAATAATAATAATAATGTTAGTTTAAATAGAACACATGTGTTGCTATTGATGATCCATGTTAATGATTAAGGAAAATAATTCTGTCCCAGTAGCCCAGCTAATTTAGATTCTTGTAATTGTAATTTGGGAGATGTGCTCACAGGTTTTGGAGTGCCCCATAGCTGAAACCAAGCTTGCAAAATAACTTAAATTTTTATCAAATTGCTTTGAGCTAAAAACACAAGAAGACAACCTAAAGTTTTAGAAACCTCATAGTTGAATGAGGAGCTCGTTAAGATCAGGGAACAAGAACAGAGCAGCCTAATTGTCATTGGCTGATTTACTTTCTTGCTGTGATTGGTTGATGATAAAAGGTGATGATTAATTCCTTATACCCACTTCTGCCCTCAACCTTCTGATATAAAAAATATGGATAAGAGGGTATGTACCCTAAAGATTTAAAATAGAGCTGACTTATTCTTTGTCTTTTGTTAAATGAAGATTTTCTTGAGAGGAGCCTTCCCGCCCGCCTGGTTCCAGATCTGCATCAGTCCCAAATAAACACACAGGAGGCTATATTAATTATGAAGCTGTTGGCCTTGCTTGTCTCTTACTGGCTAGCTCTGCTTTAAGTAATTACCCCATAATTGTTAATCTAAGTATGTCTCTTACCGGAGAGGTTTCCGGGCTTCCTACCCCAATGGCGTTACATCTCGAACTCTCTTGTGTTTCTCCTTTTGGACTCCTAGTCCCTCCTATCTAGGTTCCCTATTGGCCAGCAGTAATTTTCACCTGTGGTATGTAAAATGTTTAATTATGTAAGGGATATGAAAAACATGCGGTGTTTTGCTTGAATTAATTGTAATCAATGTTTCATTTGAAAATAGAACATAACCACATTGTAATTTCTGTATTGCCTGAAAAACTTTGTTGGGGTATATAAGCTGTTGAAAAGAAGTGTATGGCAGAAGAATAGGGAATAAATAATGAAATCATCAAGAGAGAGAACGAGAGTCTTTTTCCCTACCTTCCTCAGATGTAAAATTTTCATAGAACATGTTGACTCCATAAGTTCCCTCTGAGCTTTGTGCTGGTGGAGGCTGCCCCTCTAGGCAGCAATAGACAGAGAGTCAATCTTCAGTACCCTAAGCCTGGATGTGACTTCTGCCATGCTTTCTCATTCCCTGAGATATAGATTGTATGTATATGTGGCAGCCAATTGTGTTCAGGGAAAGTACTGCTCTGTGAATATTTAGTATGTGCTCAATTCACTTTCAGTCACATGTTTCAAATAACCGTTCTTGCGTCACTGCTTTCTTTGTTGACTCCACACACGAAAGTTCACTGACAGTGAAGCGAGGTTGTCTGCCACATTGGACTGTAGTCCTGCTCAGTCCTTTAGTCCCCTCCTGCACTGACAGGATAATTCAAGCCCCACTAGTGTAGGAAGGAGGTGCATAGCACAGTGATTGCTTCTCTGACCCATGCTCCTGCACTCCCCAATGACTCCCAACCCCCGAGAAGGCAGTCCGGGCAACTTAACAGCCATCACTGGGTCACCAAACAAGGGAAATTAAGCAGAATAATGGGATTGACATTTTGGGATGAATGTGGAGACCCCTGAGCAGGTTGAGAGTCTGAAGTTCATCCCTCTGGGGGTCTTAGGAGCCCACTAATGGTTTAAAACAGACCTAAAGTTCCCCTATGGCCCTTTTCTTCCTTGCATATAAAGGCATGCATCCTGCATCTGCCTCAGAAGCTACGTGACTGAAACATGCTCTTCCGATGTTCTGGAATGCAGACTTCATGTCCCATAGTGACCACTAACCAGAGTCACAGAATCTGTGACAGATGTACAAGAAGTGACCACAGGGGACCCTGCTGTGCTGATAATTTTTCACTGAAGGAATCATAAAGTCCACCCTTCCTCAAGGTCCCAATTGACCCAATTGATTTCAGTGTCCACACTACCAGTGTTATATTCAGGAAGTGGTCTCCTGTGCCTACGTGTTCAAGGTTATTTCCCACTTTCTCTTTTATCAAGTTCAGTGTAAGTGGATTCATGTTGAGGTCTTTGATTCACTTGGATCTGATATTTTACTAATGATTGATATGGATGTATTCGCAATCTTCTACCTGTGGACGTCCAGTTATGCCCACACCATTAGTGTAAGATGCTTTCTTTTTTTTTTTACATTGTACTCTTGGAGCTTTTTTGTCAAAATCAGGTGTTAATGGGTGCATGGATTTATGTCAGGGGGTATGGGTTGCGCTATCAGAACTACACCTGACTTCTCAATGGAAACTCTGAAAGTCAGAAGGTTCTGGACAGGGCGGTGCCACAGACACGAAGAGACCATAGATGGAATCCCAGGCTACTATGTCAAGCAAAGCTTTTAATCACCATAGATGGAGAAAACAAGACATTCCATTAGAAAACCAGATTTTAAAATTGTTATCCAGAAATCCATCCTTACAGAAAGTACTAGAGACAAAACACCAACCCAAGAAAGATCACTGCAACCACAAAAATACGGGCAACAGACAACCTCACACCAGCAACTCTGAAAGAAGGGGAACACACAAACACTACAACCACCACCACCACCAAAATAAAAAATAACAGGAATTAACAATCACTGGTCATTAATATCACATATGTATGTATATATAAATTTTATTTAAGTTAGAATCAACCTTATTTCACACTTCCCAGTTCCCTCCCATCCTCCCATTTCCCTGCAATGACCCCCCATCCCAGCCTCAGGGAACGTGAGGCCTCCCATGAGGGATCATTATAATCTGTCAAGTCATTTTGGGAAGGGGCTAGGCCCTCCCCTGTCTATCTAGGCTAAGAGAGTATCACTCCATGGGAAATGGGCTCCCAAAGCCTGTTCATGCACTAGAGATACATCCTGGTTCCACTTTGAGAGCCCCCATAGGCTTCCCAGTACTCCTGACTGACACCCACATTCACAGGGCCTGGTTTGGTCCTGTGTTGGTTTTCCAGCTGTCAGACTGGGGTCCATGAGTTCCCAGTTGCTCAAGTCAGGTGTTTCTGAGGGATTTCCTAGCATGGTCTTGACCCCTTTGTTCATCACTCCTCCCTCTCTGAAACTGGATTCCGGGAGTTGGGCTCAGTCCTTGGCTGTGGATCTCTGCTTCTGCTTCCAACAGCTACTGGATAAAGGTTCTAGGATGGCATTTAAGGCAGTTATCATTCTCATTATAGGGGAATGGCATTTAAGGTATCATCTCTGCTATTGCTTAGTGACCTAGTTGGGGGTTATGCTTTTGGATATCTGTACAATTTCCTAGCACCAGATTTCTCTTTAAACCTATAGTGGCTTCCTCTATTGATGTGTCTCTTTCCTTCTCTCCTCTATTCCTCTCCCCACCCAATCTTCCTGATTCTTCATGTTCTTCTCCGCCTCCTCTTTCTCTTACCTCCATCCTCCTTCTCCCTACCCCCCATTTATTCAGGGGCTCTTGTTCCTTTCTGCTTCACCAGGGGACTGTCTGTCGCATGGTCCTCCTCGTTTCCTAGACTCTCTGAATTATAGGGAAGTAATCCTTTTCTCTATGTCTAATACCTGTATATGGGCAAGTACATACCATGTTTGTCTTTCTGTGACCAAGTTACCTCACTTAGGATAGTTTCTTCTAGTTCCATCATTTTGCCTGAGAACTTCAAGATTCCATTGTTTTTATTCCCACTGGGTAGTACTCCATTGTGTAAATGTACCAAATTTTCTGTATCCATTCTTCACTTGAGGGGCATCGAGGTTGCTTCCAGGTTCTGGCTATTACAAATAATGCTGCTGTGAACATGTTTGAACATATGTCCTTGCTGAATGAATGTACATCCTTTGGGTATATGCCTAAGAGTGGAATTGCTGGATCTTGAGCTAGACTGGTTTCCATTTTCTGGGGAAACTGCCATACTGATTTCCACAGTGACTGTAAAAGTTTCCACTCCCAGGCAATAGAGAAGAGTTTCCCTTACTCCA